AGTATTATGTGCTGGTGCTCCGAAGGACTGAATGTTCACTTCAGACACACGTTTGGGGGATGTATATTTATGCATAGATTTTGGGATGCAGCACATCCCACTGTGAACTTGGACAGCAGCTTCCTCTTCCATCTAAGAATTCCTCTCTTAAGAAATCCCAGTGTTGTGTAAGGAAGGGCACAGCCCAGGAGCTGTTCCAGCAGCAGCTGAGCCAGGTTAAGGCGTTCTCACCTCCAGCCTGCCCACAGCTGTGTATCCACTGCCCCCCATTAGGGGTTACCACCCTTTTCCATGAGCCACATAACCACATCTGTGGACACTCCCAAGTCTGGCTCCCTCAGAATGATCCAGCTTAGCTTAAGCACTTTTTAGTAAGTTTATTGTTTGGGCTTATTTTTATTATTTTTTGAGCTAGCTCATCTTGAGATTGATAGTTTCTTGACTCAGTTCAGCTGCAACTGGAACAGCATCTCTGACCACGCTCCAATAAAGCTGTTGCAAAATTGCATCTGTCAGTCTCTTCAGTCAAAGCCTGTAAGACCAATCTAAAGACAATATATTTAATTCCATAAACATTCTTTTGTCTGCTATCTCACTGTTTCCTCGGTATTACTGGAAATTTAGATCACTTCTGTGTGCAGCAGTCTATTCTCCAACAACTTATTTAAGGAGATCTAAGATAATCAACACTCTGAAGAAACTATCACAAAAAAAACCCCTCCAGGTCCTCCCTCTTCCAGAGAATTTATGGCTTCCATGAGGTGCAGAACTGCAAGAATCCAGTAAGTCACGGGGGAACCTGATCAGAAACTGTTGATGCATTTATATTATTAGTATTATGACTTTATTTCATTTTCAATTCTTGCCATATGGGACTTAGGAGACTTGTGCAGCCAAGGCCTCGCACAGCCGTGCCAGGAGGCAGGAAAGGTAGTTTGGGGAGACACAAATATTTGCTTCACTGACCTCTGTGTTTGGCTCCTAAGGAGGTTTGATTTGTATTCAGGCCCATACTTGTGCTCTCAGGGAACACACATAACTCAGGCCAATTGTATGGGATGGGAGCACAACGAGGAGCCCTGCTCAGGCTCTGACATTTAGCAAGCCAAGAGGGTTGAAAATGGAGCCAAGTCCATTGCCTGGCTTGGCTGCACAAACCAAAACACAAACCTCGCCACTGGAATTGATTATAGGCACATGAAAAGAAAATACATAAAATGATACATAAGGTTCTTGTAACCTCCAGGAGCCGATGCCAGAATATGCTCATGGGCTTGGTTCAACACCACAAGTGAGCGCAGAGCTCAGCCCAGGCCGCGCTCGGGTTTTCATCAGATTAACTCTTCAGCTCAGGTCAGAGCACCCCTTGTGCTGCTCCCAGATCTGAGCTTCCCCTCCAGCCCCCAGGGAAAGGAGTAGCTGGCTGTGTGAATGCAGGATTTATAGCACTTCAGCTGGTGCAAAAGGTGCTATAGCTGCCCACAGGAGGAAAGGAAATTGAATTAAGTGAGATTAGGAATCTACACAACAGAGGAGCCAGAAGGCTGTTTATGCTAAATGTAAAATATTACATGAGCCAGCCCCACAGAAAGTGGATTCTTCCTCTGCTACAGATCCCAGTTATCCCTCAACTCAAACTGGGGGCTTTGGCTATGCATTTCTTAGTTTAATTATGGTTAATAATTTAGTTAGGAAGCTTAATCCATGCAGACTACTACACTGATTTGAACAACAAAGCTCAGCAGGCACTAAAATGTTATATTTCTTGGAAGAATATGAGTTATTAATAGTATCCTTTCCCATGCAAAAACTTGTGCCTTTCTGTAGAGTCTCACTGTTCTCCAGAAAGACACTTTTTTCTCAGTTTGACGTATTTGATATAATAGTTTGATATGATGAAGGTAACGCTTTCAGGAAGGGCTTGAAAGCAGACATTATTGTTTTACTGCAACACCAGTGAGACTCAGCATTTCCCTGGAAATGAGCAGAGCTAAGATGATGGTTTTTCACTTTCCGGTAACCCTTGTGCAAGGTGTTGGAGCCTTTCTGAAAGAGCACTGAAGAGATTGTCTGAAAAATGAATCAAGCCTTTATCCAAAAAGCCATCAAAAACCGAGTTACCACAACTAGATTTGCTTGTGGCCAAGAACCTTTCCTTCCTGAAACACCAAACGCAAGGGCTGGAAGCAAATAAAATGTTCTTAGAGGACAGGGTGAAGCAAAGGAATGATCTTTAAGGTCCCTTCCACCCCAAACCATGCTGTGATTCCATGAATAGTGGAGTCCAGTGTTCAGATACATCATATTTTCTTCTAAGGAATAAGTAATTTAATCCTACTACAGTTACTCCTGTAGCAATTTCCCTTCAGGTTTCAGGAACTCCTGTGTCCTGCTAACAGAAAGCAGGAGTTCAATAGTGCACTCAAACTCTCCCAATTTAACTTAAGGTTTAGTCTTTTCTAATTCAAAGACATTTCATTTTAAAGTGTTTTTGCCTTATAATAAACAGATAATAAACAGATTCTTGGTTTCCTACAATAAAAAGAGAAAAAGACTGTAAACTTGAAACCTTTAAAAGGGCACGTGGGACTATTCTTTAATTTTATTCTTTGGCTGTGGAATCTATACTCATTAAAAGTGAAAAGTTGAGCTCTGATTACTATTTGTGCTTTTAAAGTTTGCCTTTCTACCCCCAGAAAGAAAGGCAAAATGTGCTGATGTGCTTTCACTGTTTGGTTTTAGATTTTTTTCCTTCCTGTTGCAACGTGGCACCAAAATGCAAAGTTTGGGTTCCCTAGAATGCAAAGAAAGTAATGTAACACGGTTTTAAAGAATCTTTCTAAAAAGAAAGATGTGTAGTTAAAGATGGAAGATACTGAAAACACAAACTATGAAGTTTGGCTATTAAGTGATAGAAAGGGTTGTGAGATGGCCCAACTCTTTCCTTGCTATGAATCGTCTTCATGTGCTGATGATCCAAATATGTAATTCTTCCCTGTTTTGCTGTATTTTTCTACAGAAGAAGAATAATAAATAATAAAAATAATATAATTGAGCTACAGACATAAATGGAGATTGGATTTGTGACAGCCAGCATGAGAGAGGCAATAATTTAAGCTGATGGGAGAAGGCAAGAAACAGGAAAGTGTTTCCATCTCCTCATCCTACTATTGGAAATGGAAATATGACTTCGTATAAAGGCCACATTTTGGAATATGCTGAGCTTCTGTACACCCTGTTGTTGTACTATAGTAACAAGCTTTCTGAATGCTTGAAAAATGGGATTTCATTTAAAGCTGGGGAAGGGGTGGCAGGCCCAGGAGCCCTATCTGGGGATGAACAGCTGTCTGGATCCTGCTGTGGATGTCTCTGTGCAGCATCTCCCTGGTGCAGCCCAGCCCCAGATGCAGCTGCTGGCCCTGCCCAAGCCGGGCACACCCCTGCTCCCAACGGGATTTGCCAGATTCTAAATGTCTGCCAAATCCTGTCTGTTCAGAGCAAAGCAAAACCCAGCAGTGCATGTGCAAATCAACAGCACATGGATGAGTTTTCCCCTCATCCCCCACAGCTTTCGTTCGCTTTGACTGGAGAGTTCAGAACATCCCGTGCTTTAAAGGGTGTTTGGGAACTGCTTTCTCCTACAGCTTGGAAAAAACTTAATTATTATTGAATTAAAACTGTTTTTTCAAAACTTGTTTTTATTCCGAACAGAGCCATAACGATCCAGCCAATGCTCTCAATGTAAACACACTTAACACAAAATGGGTTTAGAACAAACCATTAATTTCAAGACTTCCTGGTAATATATATATTGCTGTTAAAGCAAATATTTTTCCATAGGTTTTGAGCCTGTGTTATCAGGGTTGCAATAAATTCTGCCATTCCCACATAAAGACATTAAAAACTGAATGGCATTATGTGTCAAGTGAATTATTTCAATTGGATTAAATTAATTAATCTCATCCTGATTTTCCAACCTTAATTCTAAACATTTCTTGAAGGAACTGAAAAATATGTAAATAGGAACAATCACTTGAAATAAAAATATGCAGGGTCTGTTCTGAAAATATTGACATGAAGTGATTGACATTATCAGAGGATCTCTTTGCCTCGAGATATCTCAATGAAATTAAATTGTTTCTGACAGGTTCCTGAAGAAATTTTTAGTTCAAATGAAACCACATTTTCAAAGAAAAATATTTTGGAGACAAATCTGTGCCTTGCCCCCCTTGGTGCAGAGTCCCCTGCGACCCATGAACAGAGGGAGCTGTTTGCCCTGATGTGGTTTTCGGTCTGAATTTGCCTATTTTTAGTGCCCTGTGTCAGAACTCAGTGGCAACCTGGGGATTTTCCTGGCTTTTTTTGTTTGCTTTTTTTTCCCTCTGAGTAATTTGTGCTGCACACTGATGTTGCTGCTGTTTGTAAACAGTAGGCTACGAGCTGTTCCTAAAACCCAGAAGGGTTTGAGCAGAAGGGCGCTTCGCCTTTCCTTCAGTGTTTCTCTCTCCTGCTCCGTGCGTGTTCAGCTCCACACTCAATTCCACGTATTCTTGTAAATGTAAGAGCACAATAAATTTGGGAACCACAACACTTTCAGCTGCCCCACGTCATTCTCACCCCAGTGGTTTCTAAACTGCTCCTCACACCCAGGCACTGCAGATATGCAGGAGCAGCAAACCACGGCTGCCCCCAAGGCACATCCTGTCTCCACGCTCATTTGCAGTGTTTTTCCTGGGACAAGTCCCATGGGATACATTTGGAGGCTGTTATTTAGTTTTGCAACATGAGTGTACTGGAATCAGGAAAATTCAAAATAGTCCATGAGCAATAGAAACAGAAATTAAGAGATAAATGAGTTTCACAAAGGAACTCAACAGTGGAAATACTTTTTGGGTTGGGATGTCCGGCCTTCTCAGCCTGAGGGTTGGGATTAGTTTTGGGAGCTCTTGTGGGTTCTATGGATCAAGTGATGTAAATACTGTCAATGGATTTCAACTTACAGACTTTCTAAGCTCTCCTTTAAATATTCCGCCTGTTCTCCAAGACAAAAGGTGGGTACAACTGATGGAAGAGGCCTTGTAATGCTTCCAGAAGATCCATCAGCTGCGTGTGGAGCCCCTCTCGTGCTGTATCAGCATTTCTGCTTCTGTGCTGAAAACTGGAAGTGAAAAGGCATCTTGTTAGAAGAACCCAGAATCAAGAAGTGTGGAGCCAGGTTGCAAAACCAGGAAAAAAATCAGAGGGAAGTAGGTGACCAAAAAGGAGGAAGAAGATGTTTCTAAATAATGCCTGTATTTGCCTAACTGGGCAGCAGAGTTACCAGTGAACCAGCCCAATGAAAGAAAATCTGCATTTTACCCCTGTTTCTTATGGCAATGCATGGAAACATCTCCTGTTTGAGTCATGCTGTCCTTCCCTTTCCCTCTCCCCAAAGGTATCCATAAGAATGCTGTGACATTCAGCTAGTGAATTTTTGGCATAGAAAGGAGAGAGCTGAAGAAATGCAAGAAGATTTCATAAGAGTTTCTCAATAACAAGTTTTTTGATCTTCCTAACATTATCCAGAAATAAAACAGATATTTCTGCTCAGCTGAACCCAGCTGGCTGTGTGGAAAACATTTCAAAATCTGCCACAAATCTTTATTTTTTTTTCTAATGTCTGTTAATTTACTTAAAACAAATCAATTAAGTGTCCTAATTACAACTGAAATATATAATTATATAGTGCACTCAGTTCAGTGCATGCTAATGAAGCAATCACCACCTTCTTATTAGTCACTCTGGAAAACTAAACCCAAGTGGGAGCTGACAAGGTTTTTCTGCATCTTCAAATGAGGCACTTGGTCCATTCTTTGCTTGTTTCTAAACTTGAAACTTGAGCAAAACAGGCAGCAAAAGGTACAGGATCATTATATTATTTGCTTTTCTTACAGTAAAAATTCAAGAGGAACTATCATCCCCTAAGGTGGATCAGCTCACTTAGAAATTAGAAAGTATTTTTAACATATATGTTAATATTTTGCAAAAAACTTTTAGCAAATGAGTATAAATTTTAAAAGGACAGTACACAGCTCTAATCTAATTCAGATGAAAAGTATTTTGGTGAGTGTGCTTTGCCTGCCTAAACAGAAATATTAGAGCAGCTACTTAAATGGTAATTGATAAATGCATAAAATTACTACCATTCAAACTGCAAATCAGTTAGCAGAATTCAATGAAGGTTTAAACATTTCATTGCATTAATGATATAAATGCATAAATTTACAGAGAGCAGCATCCAGCCATTTGGCAGCTTTCCACTGTATTTACTTACAGGTGATAATGCATTTAAAAAGCATTTGAAGCAGAATATGTATTAAGCACTACTAAACTTGCAGAGATTTATTAGCACAAGCTTTTAGACTGTCTCTGCCCTGAAGCAAACTCATTTTTATTTCTGAAAATTAAAAAAAATAGAGCAATACATCATTTTAAGAAACATCGGCGAGGACGGTGTGGGAGTTATCTTAAAATCCAGTATTTCTTCATGACAAGTGTAGGTCTGTAGCCTTCAGCTTGTATGGGACTGACTGATGGGACTGCCTCAGAAATGCTGATAATATCCATAGGATGTTCATTTATACATTAGTGAAAGGATGGACATTTGGAAAACTCTCTGGGATCTCCAGAGACTAATGATCTGACACTTCCAGCACCTTAAAGTGCTCTGATTTTTCAGACAGAGCTGAAATCCTGTCCATACAGACAAAAATCAGGCACTGCCAATTCTTTGGGGAACTTAAGCTAATGAACATTATTAGTTCTCCCAACAGATGAGAGCAAAGACAGCAGGAAAATATTTGCAGGTATTTAATGGTATTTGCAGAAGTGTTCTATGAGCATTTGCAGGAGAGGGTGAATGCAAAAGAAAACATCCTAAATATGATTCTCTCATAGAAGACCTTGGAAAGTAAGTATGTGTCAAGGCTTGAGACTTCCCTTTGAGTTGGGATAAACCAATGTGATTGAGGGGACTGGTCAAACAAAATGGGAATTGCGTGTATCGTGTGTTGAGGCAGCCTGGGATGTACTCCCATCTCTTCATTTCAGCAACAGCAAACTCTATTTGTGGCTGATTAAATCAAAGTAAACCCACCCACTGTGAAGAGCTCACATGCCCCATTCCTGTGTCAAGGCTTCTGAGATGCACCTGGACCTTAAACACAAAGATCACTTTTGTGTGGAGGACATGCAGGAAGGGTGGCATTTCTTCTCACCCAGCAATAGCAAAAGACACAGCATTCATGCCCCAATTCCTCTGAAGGCCACTACACCTTCTTAATTAGTGCTTTTAGTAAGAAACAATGTAAATTAGTGAAGATTTGCCACATGAACCTTCCCACTTCCCACCAAGGTCAGAGATGCTGGTGCTGGAGGCCCTGCATCCTGGATCTAGCACGACGACTTCAGACTCCCATGATAAAATTCCAGCTGTCTCATGCCTGGTACAGTCAGGAACACAGAGGCTGTGTAAACAAGCCCCTTCTGATCTGCTCCAGATATACAATGTCCTGCCCTTGGGATTTTGTGTCTATACTGACAGGGCAGGCACCCTCCTCTCAGCTGGTGCATGTTCTGAATGGATGAGCTGCAATGAGTAGATGACAGAGATTTCTCTCCATTTTAATGCTTTTCTGGCCAAAATCCTCTTGAGAATTCAACTCAGCAAGATCTTTAAATACAACTGAGAGCAGGATTTGGCTCAGGGAGTGTTTCCCTATTTTATTCCCTACAGCTTTTCATTACCACCTTCTAAATCTGTAATGAAACCAGGAGTGTTTTTACGGTGCTCTGTATGAGAACGTTCCTAATAAGTAGCTCCATTAAAAATAGTAAACATAAATCATTTATTAATTTTATGCATTTCTAAGTCCACTTGAGAATATTTTTGGCTGAGCCAAGGCACAAGTAAAGGTGTTAATTACTATCTTACTAGAGCAATCAGTTAATAAGGCAGTTAGGAGAGATGTTTGTTGGGAGGTTCTGGGGTGCCCTGAGGCTACTGAAGTCATTGTCTGGGATAGAACACCACCGCTGGAGCTTGCAGGAGTCTGGTGGCACTAACCCAAAGCCCTCAAGGCCTCTGTCTGCAAATTAGCTGAGAGGAGAGAGCAGACACCAGGTCTGAGCAGGGGAGCTGTAAACAAGCAGGTAGAATTCCCGGCGCAGGCTCCCACGGAGTGGAGCAGTGTCTGGGGCCCCTGGGAGGAGTGTCTGGGGCCCCTGGGAGGAGCCTGCCAGGGCCCACTCGCTGAGGTGGAGATGGACGGGGAATTGGGTTCAGTTTCCTTCTCCCCCAAAACAACAGCAGCCTTTTCAGGGCTCTGCTGTGTCCTCAGGCCAAGGAACAGAGCTCTGCACCATTTAGAAGGCTGAACATCTTGGAGCAGCTCTGCTCTCCCTGCTTGCCCGTTCATCCCCTGTGAGGACCCCAAACGCTTCCAGACTCCTCCAGGACAGAACAGCTCCTTTATTCACTCTCCTGCTGCACCAGAACTGGATGGACATCCATACCAGTGTGGTACTGACCAAAGCCATCGACTGTCTGACCGTGGCCAGGTCACCTTTGCTCCCACTGTGTTTCCAGAGAGTTCAACACCACAAAAGCCACTCTGGTCACTGGTTCTTCAATCCAGAGGCCACAGACAGAAGGGGTTTTCAGGTTAAATGCTAAAGGTTCAAGGAGAGCAGCACACTGGGGCATCTTGCTCCTCTTTTGCCTGATTTCTTCCCTGCTCAGTAACTTGTATTCTCCACTCGCCATTGCAGCGCCGGGTGACAAGAGCTAAACAGATCCATTAGTGACTTGCAGGAGGGAGGTTATCCCAGTCTCCCAAAACCAAGGGAAAACCACAGCTGTCTGCCCTCAGCTGAGGGTGTGTCAAGGAGCCTGTCCACAAGGGAAGTGTTTCTGGTTATGAATTATATCCTACACCATCCCTATGGCCCTATTAGGGATGCACTCCGAGGTGCTCCGGGGGTAGCCTGTTCTAGGAGCTAAATTCCCCCCTGTGGGATGGGAGAAATATTAGAGGAGTTGCCAGAGAAGGGAGGGGAAGAAACCACTTTCTGATGTACTTCAAAGTCAGATAATGAGTCTTTCTGTCCGACATCACTGGGGGGGGGGGGGGGGAGTGGGGGTGTTGATCTTCTGTAACTTCAAAAAACTTGAACTGATTTGCAGCACAGAAATCACCTTAAAAATGCTGGTCCTTTTACTTGTCCTCCCTAACCCAGATAGCCCTCAAAATATGGCTGTAGGAGAGAGATCCCATTTCACCTGCACAATGGAGACACTCTTTACTTGAGACAAAACAGACCATATCCCAGATCTATCCTACAGTTTGGAATAGTATCTAAGCAGAGGACTGTTCCTTGTCAGTGAGGGAAGTACTGTCATTCCCACTTTTCAGATGGTAAATTGAGAAAGAATGAGTTGGACACCTTATCCAAGGACACAGGAATATCTGTAATCACGCTGGAAAGTGAACTGAGATCTCCTGACTTCATCCATGGGGTGCTTAATACACCCCCACTTCAACCGTGGGGTTGTTGTTGGGCAGATTATTTGTTTCTTTGAGGAGATTCAGTAAAGCTTCCAACAAATCTAGCGTGAACAGCCCAGAGCTGACACTGTCTCCGGGAGCTTGTCCTCCACTGGAAGAACGTAGATGGAAAATAAATATTAGATACATTTAATTCATTATTTAATAATCTGTGGGGGTTTATGCTGGAATAGCTGGCTCAGGAGTACAACCTTGGCCAACCATGGCCCTGATAGAGCTCCAGCATCTCCTCCTCACCACAGGCAGGGAGACATTTCAGAACCATTATACTGTAGAGTTCAATTGAAGAAGACGACTTTGCTTTTAAAGAGATTTAAGTTGATTCCCTCCCATAAATTCAGTAGCTGCCCCAACTATGCCTCATTGAGGAAACTTCCTCTGACAAGAGTCATGAATTATAACCAGGATAAAATGTTTCATTAAAATACAGATAAGGGAAAGTAGGAAGCAAGGTTTTTGTACGGATAAAACCAATTTTGCTGCAAAAGCAAATCCTTGGCCATTTTTCAGGTCAGTAAGTTGAAGCCTGGGTGTTATAAATCCATCATCAGTG